ACACAAACACATTCAGACCATATGCAGTTAGTGAATAATACACAACTGAGTATATCTCCCAGGTGATATAAGGGTGTTCTTCATTCCATCATAACTGTTGTTAGTGGTCACATTTTATATCAGCTAAGATAATATTTGTATTAGAGTAGTAGTTAAATTTCCTTATTGTTGCCTGGAAATGCACTGTATCTCCCCTAGAACTGCACTGAGCAGGTGTCTGGTTGGATATTTTTTAAAATATTCTAATTTTTTTAAAAAAATGGGTTGTGGGTTTTTCGAGCTATATGGCCATGTTCTAGAGGCATTCTCTCCTGACATTCCGCCTGCATCTATGACAAGCATCCTCAGAGGTTGTGAGACCTCACAACCTCTGAGGATGCTTGCCAAGATGCAGGCAAAACGTCAGGAGAGAATGCTTCTAGAACATGACCATGTAGACCAAAAAACCTACAACAACCCAGTGATTCCAGCCATGAAAGCTTTGACAATACATTTTTAGAAAATGATTCTGGAAATGATGGACTGAAGTTTATTGGTCATTGCCAAATTAACTGTTCAAATCTGAGAGTCTACCCCTTAGGAGAGAAATTGGCTCTTGGTCCGAACACTTTGGCTGAAGTTTTCTGGTATTTCCCCAAAGCCCTCAGACCTCCTTGCTAAGTTTAATGAATTGTCTTTTTCAAGTGCTTTCTTGACTTCTTTTTGCAAGAAATCGTGCAAAATGCAGAAGAATAACCCCCAGTTTATTGCAGAGTGTTTGAGAAACTTCACTGAGATTGCTACAGGGGACTCCTACGGCAATTTGTTTTGTTTTGTTTTTTCTGTTCATATTTAATTCTCTCATTAGTCATTTAGGTAAATACAGCTCAGGAAATTAAAAAAAAACATCATATTCAGGAAGAAGAGAAGAGTTTATTGAAGAGCATGCAAAGATTTTCACCAAGATTTGCATAGTAGTCTGGAAAGTATCAGATTTTTATCCAAGAGCCTTTATTTTGTAAGAACCAGTGACATGTTAAGAGATCTGTAAATGTTCCAGCCTCTCTTCTGCATTATAGGTCTAGTTGTCCTACTGTGGAAAGAATAGAGAGACACACTGTCACATGGGAACAATGGTATTACAATATTCTAAACTCTTGTAGCCATTAAAGAAAGACACCAAGATAAGAAAAACAACTTTCTCCTCGACTGTAAAAAGAAAAAGAAAAACCTGCAATCTTGAGTTGATTTACCTGATAGTAATTTCCATTAAACTCACTGGGACTTATTTTGGGGAAAATATGTATGGATGTAATGAAAATGTGAAGGAACTGCGATTCCCTTTCCATGGGCACCTATGCCGCATTCTATGTTGTGTTGGTCATTGACCGTAATAAATCATTGATTGATTGATTGATTGATTGATTGTATGGGATGTGTCTTGGACTGTAAGAAGATCCAACCAGTCCATACTTCAAGAAATAAAGCCCAACTGCTCATTGGAGGGAAGGATATTAGAGACAAAGTTGAAGTAGGTTCTTGTGGGGTTTTTTGGGCTATAGGGCCATGTTCTATAGACATTTCTCCTGATGTTTCGCCTGCATCTATGGCAAGCATCCTCAGAGGTAGTGAGGTCTGTTGGAATTAGGAAAAGGGTTTATATATCTGTGGAATGGCTGGGGTGGGGCAAAGAGCTCTTCTCTGCTGGAGCTAGGTGTGAATGTTTCAACTGACCACCTTCATTAGCATTTGAAGGCCTGGCTGAGCCTGGGAAAATCTTTTGTTGAGAGGTGTTAAGATGTGACTGGTTGTTTCCTCTCTGCTGTTTTGCTGTTGTAATTTTAGAGTTTTTTAATACTGGTAGCCAGATTTTGTTCATTTTCATGGTCTCTTCCTTTCTGTTGAAATTGTCCACATGCTTGTGGATTTCAATGGCTTCTCTGTGTAGTCTGACATGGTGGTTGTGAGAGTGCATTTTTCTCAAATAATATGCTGTGTCCAGGCTGGTTCATCAGGTGATCTGCTATGGCTGACTTCTCTGGTTGAAGTAGTCTGCAGTGCCTTTCATGTTCCTGATGCGTGTCTGGGCGCTGCGTTTGGTGGTCCCTATGTAGACTTGTCCACAGCTGCATGGTATACGGTAGACTCCTGCAGAGGTGAGAGGATCCCTCTTGTCCTTTGCTGAACGTAGCATTTGTTGGATTTTCTTGGAGGGTTTGTAGATTGTTTGTATGTTGTGTTTCCTCATCAGCTTCCCTATGCGGTCAGTGGTTCCCTTGATGTATGACAGGAACACTTTTCCTCTGGGTGGATCTTCATCTTTACTCTCGTGGCTTGTTCTGGCGTTTCCCAGGCCTTCAAATGCTAATGAAGGTGGGCAGTTGAAACATTCACACCTAGCTCCAGCAGAGAAGAGCTCTTTGCCCCACCCCAGCATTCCACAGATATATAAACCCATTTTCCTAATTCCAACAGACCTCACTACCTCTGAGGATGCTTGCAATAGATGCAGGCGAAACGTCAGGAGAAATGCCTCTAGAACATGGCCATATAGCCCGAAAAAACCCACAAGAACCTAATTATTGTTGTTGTTGTTGTTTTCAGAATTGATTGATTGATTGATTGATTGATTGATTGATTGATTATATGGGATGTGTCTTGGACTGTAAGAAGATCCAACCAGTTCATACTTCAGGAAATAAAGCCCAACTGCTCATTGGAGGGAAGGATATTAGAGACAAAGTTGAAGTACTTTGGCCACATCATGAGGAGACAGGAAAGCTTAGAGAAGACAAGATGCTGGGGAAAATGGAAGGAAAAAGGAAGAGGGGCCGACCAAGGGCAAGATGGATGGATGGCATCCTTGAAGTGACTGGATTGACCTTGAAGGAGCTGGGTGTGATGACAGCTGACAGGGAGCTCTGGCGTGGGCTGGTCCATGAGGTCACGGAGAGTCGGAAGCGACTGAACGAATGAACAACAACATGTATGGGATTCTGCTATCCCAGTGCTAAACTAAGGGTCATCCAGACAGGTCCAAAAAGTGGGATGGATCTAGGTTTTTGCTGGAGGCATCCAAATTGAAGCCGAGCATCCCCCCCCCCCCAAATAAGGGATGGTAACTTATAGTTCTGCAAAGGGCAAGGGCACCAGACTGCACAATAGGGGTTAAGTCTTGGTCAATTTGCCAAGACACTAACAACAGCAAGGACCCCAGGAGGCTTTCAGGGAGCAGATTGGTCCCTGGGCTCCAGCCCTTGGAAAGAGTTACAGTTTTCCAAGGACAAGGACCAGAGTTGATCTCAATGTGGTGGGTCCCCCTTAGCTGGCTCAGTGGAACCTCTGAGACTTTCTCTTATGAATTTTATGCTTTTATCATTCCCCACAAACATTTCCCTTCCTCTACAAGAACAAACCCTTATGAATTTATACCCTTATGAACTATGGACACATATTATGTATTTCATGGTTTCCTCGTGGCAGAGGCTCCCCCCCCCCATTTGACCTTTCCCCCCTTCTCCTCATGAAGAAATCCCCCCAGGAAACTGCAGAGCCCAGGCATTCACTAAAGAACTTTAATCCAGAATTTCCTTTGCATGAACAATATCCTGGCGGCTGCCCTTTTTTCTCGGAGGATCGCCCAACAAAGTTGCTGCCCCCTGGCAAAACTTTAATCATTTTTCTACCTAGAGGTCAGGGGACCTTCGAAAAGCCCCCACCTTCGCACTGGTTGATTTAGCTAACTTCCCACTAAGGAACATTCACTCCAGTTTCGCCCTCATTGTCCTCATGTTTGCTAGCCGGATTGTCCTTTACACATGTTGATTCATTCCAATCAAAACACAATAGATCAGCCCTGCTTGAGACTTCCTTTTTTTGTCTCGCGAGCCACATGGCATTATTTTTTCAAAACTCATTCACAGATTCCTTTGTGTTCTATCGTCACGCCTCCCTCTCCCCAATTTGCTGTCGCCGCTAGGTGGCAGGAGCCTTCCCATTGGATCCAACTCACCGCTGAAACTTCCTGATTGGTCCTGAAGCCCAAGAGGCAGGAGGGCTGCCTCCCAGCTGTTCGCCCGTCACTCAATCATGGTGGGGAACGTCAGGGAAGCCGGGGCGGGAAGTTTGAACTCTACAAATTTGAATTTGCTATAAATGTGACTGTATTGGTGTATTTCCTTATGCTCTGCTGGCGAATGATTGCGGTTCTGCATCCTTTTCAGCTGAATTGCTAATAAAAACCCTCGGTGGCCATTTCTTCAACCTTGGTGAGATTTATTTGGGAAAAATCAGGGAAAATTCTGGGCCTTTCTCCTCTTTCGCTTGCCAAGGGTTTCGGACTCTCTTTGGTGGGTCTAAGGGCTCCTCTCTCATGGGCAGGAGCCTCCAAATTCTAGCTCGATATCAAAATGATATCTGCAGAAAAAAAACAAATTAATTTGGAACAAACCAGGGTCCCAAATTCATTCAACACCTGGTAAGATCTGGATTTTATGGTAAAATCTAGGTCTTACCGAGTGTGGGCCCTATGTGGATTGGTCCCATGGACTGTGTCACACAATTCATGGGCCCAATCCCACCCCTCCCCTCAAACTCCAAATTTAGGCCCTAAAACTTACCTAAAAGTGTCTGCCAGGAACACAACTTGCTTGCATGCTAAAATGGCACATGAGGAGAAGAGGGGTAGGGATTCGCGTGCCAGGATAATTTTACATGCAGACTCCATTTCTGGCAGCTGCTTCAGGTAAGTTTTAGGGCCAAGTTTGGGGCTGAGAGATGGCTGACTGCTATCCGGATTACAATTGGGATAACATCTAGCCCACTGAGGAGGAAAATCCGAGGTTTGGGGTGGGAGGTGGAGACTCCAATGCGGGGGAAAACACGTTATTTTATCCCATTTTCACCTCCATTTCTGGACATTCTGGAAGCGCCCTCAGTCAATTCTTTCATGGTAGCTAATATTCATTTTCTAATTCAGTCAAAGCAATGGAATTCATGAGTCCTCCAGGTGTTTTTGTCTAACTGCAACTCTTAACTCCTTGTCTCTGCTGGTTACATCTAGTAGGGCTTGAGAGGCCAGCCAGCATATTTCTGCAATGGACAACAGGAGCCACAAGAATGTTTAGGGCCTACAAATCCTGCAACCATCATGGACAACTGTGAAACATATAGGGAGATAACAAAAAGGATCTGGATATTCACAGTTTCTCAGTCTAAGGTAGTCCCTACTGAGCTGAAGGAGAGATCAATGTTCGAGGTTGGTCTACGTTGGCTTCCAACATTATTGCACCTCACTTCTGCCAACAGGATAACTCTCGTCCCAATTGAAAATAAGCTATTATATGGCTGCAGATATAAAAGTTTTGGCAATCAGTACTATTTCTTTCTACTTACTTTGACTTGACATTCAGTTTTGCAAGCTTTTTTATTCAGGAATCTATTTCCATTGCCTCCAGAACCACGATAGATGAATGGCTCACAGTGATTGTTCTTTGGATTAAAGTAGAAGACATTTATTTTTTTGTTGCCAGTTCCAGGATCCTTAGAGAGTAAACATTTCGAAGGCCGTCCTATTGGCAAGATATTAATTATTTATTCAATTAATCAATTAATTACTACCACAGTGACAAAACCCATAATTATAAACAAGGATCAAGAATGAAGCTCTTACCACCCTCAGCCTGTCCAGGAATGCCCAGCAGATCGGACAATAATGTGAGGAAGACTCCTACAATGAGGATGGAGAAGACGAAGGAACCAGCTTTCATCATGGTTGCTGGATTTGAGTCCTTGGTGCGAACCTAAGCCCTTTATAAATTGTTTCAAGAGGAAATGAAAACCATTGGCAAAGACACACTGGAATCCTATAAATCAACTGAACATCCTGCTCTAAGTTAGTTATTCAAAGATGTCATTAGATTGTGTACCTATTAGGTGCCCTGGGGTTAATATTGATGTATGATAACCCTACGGATGTGAGAGCTGGACCTTAGGGAAGGCTGAGCGAAGGAAGATCGATGCTTTTGAGCTGTGGTGTTGGAGGAATGTTCTGAGAGTGCCTTGGACTGCGAGAAGATCCAACCAGTCCATCCTCCAGGAAATAAAGCCCGACTGCTCATTGGAGGGAAGGATACTAGGGACAAAGTTGAAGTACTTTGGCCACATCATGAGGAGACAGCAAAGCCTGGAGAAGACAATTATGCTGGAGAAGGTGGAAGGTAAAAGGAAGAGGGGCCGGCCAAGGGCAAGATGGATGGATGGCATCCTTGAAGTGACTGGACTGACCTTGAAGGAGCTGGGGGTGGTGACGGCCGACAGGGAGCTCTGCCGTGGGCTGGTCCATGAGGTCACGAAGAGTCGGAGACGACTGAACGAATGAACAACAACAACCCTAGAATCATAGAATCATAGAGTTGGAAGAGACCTTGTGGGCCATCCAGTCCAACTCCTGCCAAGAAGCAGGAAAATCATGTTCATCCTTTTTTACATGCAGCCCTACATTATCAGTGGCTAATAAAATGTCTTATGACCAGGAGAGCATTTGCACAGTTAAAACTTGTGCGCCAGCTGCGCCCATACCTTGGGAAGCCTTACTTGGCCATGGTAGCCCACACTCTGGTTACATCCCGTATAGACTACTGCAAGGCACTCTACGTGGGGTTGCCTTTGAAGACGGTCTGGAAGCTTCAACTAGTCCAATGAACAGCAGCCAGGTTGCTAACAGGAGTGGCTCTCAGGGAGCATACCACCCCCTTTTTGTGCCAGCAACACTGGCTGCCGGTTTGCTACCGGGCCCAATTCAAAATGGCCTATAAAGCCCTAAACGGTTCTGGCCCAACTTACCTTTCTGAACGCATCTCCCCTTATGAGCCATTGAGGACTTTGAGATCGTCTGGGGAAGCCCTACTCTCGGTCCCGCCTTCGTCACAAGCACGCCTGGCGGGGACGAGAGACAGGGCCTTCTCAGTGGTGCCCCCTCAGCTATGGAACGCCCTCCCTAGGGAGATCAGATCAGCTCCCTCCCTATTAAAGTTTCAGAGACAACATGGTTGTTTGAGCAAGTGTTTACAAATGCATCAACAATTATTGATTAGCCAGTTGGCCTTATAAAACATGGTTGGATTGATGAGGAGATATTGGAAATATAGGTATTGATTTATGTATAAATTGTATGTACTTTACAAGCACTGAAATGTGTAGAAAAATCAGGCTCTCTTTGTATCAGAAATCCAAGCTGACAGGACAAGCAAGCTGCTGTCCAGGCACAGCAAGAGTGGGGCTGAACAATCCAGGAAGGGGGCATGTTATCTATACAGAGACTGGTACCGAGCCCAGTGTCTAACTTCTAAATAAGGAGTCTCATGACAGGTCAAAGTAGGGCCCTTGTTTGATGAATGTAAGCTGTAAGCTGTATGCTGCTCCTAGAAAGAAATACAGAACATGCCTTTTGTATGTTGGAAGATAGAATTTGATATTCCTATGATGCTAAAGTGATGCAGAGAATGATGTCAATGTATGTAGATGCATGTTCTTTGTTTGCCTGCAATTGAAGGGTATAAAAGCCATAGTCAACGCCTTTATCATTGGCTCTGGATGCTTTTGGACGTAGCTCCACTCCAGAACCCCAGCTGGAAATAAATCCGTGCTTTTTTTTCAGACCTCCGGAACTCTCTTTGTCTCTTTTTCTCAAAGCTTCTCCCTGTCATTTCAGTTTGAGCAAGTGTTTACAAATACATCAACAATTATTGATTAGCCAGTTGGCCTTAAAAAACATGGTTGGATTGATGAGGAGATATTGGAAGTATAGATATTTATTTATGTATAAATTGTATGTACTTTACAAGCACTGAAATGTATAGAAAAATCAGGCTCTCTCTGTATCAGAAATCCAAGCTGACAGGACAAGCAAGCTGCTGTCCAGGCACAGCAAGAGTGGGGCTGAACATTCCAGGAAGGGGGCATGTTATCTATACAGAGAGTGGTACTGAGCCCAGTGTCTAACTTCTAAGTAAGGAGTCTCATGACAGGTCAAAGTAGGCCCCTTGTTTGATGAATGTAAGCTGTATGCTGCTCCTAGAAAGAAATACAGAATATGCCTTTTGTATGTTGGAAGATAGAATTTGTTATTCCTATGATGCTAAAGTGATGCAGAGAATGATGTCAATGTATGTAGAAGCATGTTCTTTGTTTGCCTGCAACTGGAGGGTATAAAAGCCATACTCAATGCCTTTATCATGGACTCTGGATGCTTTTGGACATAGCTCCACTCCAGAGCCCCAGCTGGAAATAAATCTGTGCTTTTTTTTCAGACCTCTGGAACTCTCTTTGTCTCTTTTCCTCAAAGCTTCTCCCTGTCATTTCAGTTTGAGCAAGCGTTTACAAATGCAACAACAATTATTGATTAGCCAGTTGGCCTTATCAAAACAGACAGTGCAGACACAACATACAACATACATTTAGTCCTCTTAGATGGCTGTGACATCTGTTACCCCATTGATTGCCAGGGTTGATTCGGCTGATCTGGCTGGCTAGGCGGGTGTCCCTTTCCTCCCTCACCGCTCCATGTGCGTCCCTCCCGAAGCTGAGTACTCGGTGGAAGAGGATGACGTCCCAGGTATAGAAGGAGTGTACCAAGGTCTCCAGTCTTCGGTCCCGGGTATACAATAGCTGCACTCCCCTGCTAGAACCTCCAAAGAAGCGTTTACAAATGGAGAATAACCGATGTAGGAAATCAAATGACTTGACGATGGAAATGGGCAATGCTTGATAATAAGGAGACACTAATGATGTTGCTTTTATTACTTTTGTTGTGTTTTATACTGTTTTAATGTTTTAATCTGTAATATGATATTATGCATACTGTTTTGTTGGAAACTGCCTTGAGTCACCGATAGGCTGAGAAAGGTGGTGGAGGGAATTTACCTCAGGCCTCAATTGTGTAGAAGAGAATATTATGGAGGAGGCCAATTATTATTTGTAAATAAAGGTCAACGCAACGATGGACAGGGTATAGGGATTTTATCTTTGAAGATCCCCACCGCTATCACCCATTGTGAGGAGTGTGTTGCTGAGGTTGGCAACGGCAGGCCCTAATAAAGGAGGTATTTTACCTCAGGCACTTTTTAATCCCACCGCTGCCACCAATTGTACAGATGTGGATGTTATGGAGGGAATTTACCTCAGGCCTCAATTGTGTAGAAGAGCATATTATGGAGGAGGCCAATTATTATTTGTAATTAAAGGTAACTGCCACCAACGTAAGGTATTTGAGGTACCACCAATGAGATCTGGCTCTACAGACGCAGATTAGTTGAGGTGAGACGGTTTTCAACAAAAGATAACAAGTTTATTGTGTACAAAGCTTATAGTTGCAGGCTGTTAAATAACTTATGGAACTTTGAATATCACGTGGTTTATAATACAGTCCACTCTTCCAGATAACACAGCTTGTGGCTAACTTTCACTGAGGTGAAGCTCTCTAGTGAACAATGTTTCACTACTATAAATAGCCTTTCAATTTGATCTTCCCTCGATCAAATCTCTGATCTCTAGTCCTTCCTTAACTAGGGATCTTAACTAGGCTTCCTTTAGTCTTCTTTGACTAAAGAATCTGGCCAGGTTTCTTTCTTCAGCCCTCCTAGACTGAAAAAACACAAGCCGCTCACACAAGCCTCTCTCTCAGGCCTTTCCAAGCCTCCTCTCCCGCTTTTTAAAAACGCACATAACTTTTCCTGCTTGGCTCCACCCACTTCTCCCTCTCATGAGCTAGCCAGCCTCGTCTCCTTGGCAACGCTCACTGTGGATTCAAACCAGATGACTCCAGTTTTAGCTACTGTTACAAACACAAATACATACTCTAACAGTTAAACACAAACATAATAACAATGACTTCTGCACAGGTGGTATACAAATGCAGTCAATAAATAAATAAATAAATACATCATTTCTCCTCCTCCTTCTTGGGTCTTGGACATTTGGGGCCTTGATTTCCTTTACAGAACCAATCCACCTTTTGTATGATGGCGTCCCGTTCCTTCAACTTTCTTCACCAATATTGTCTAATGTAGTCACCACTGATTTGGTGGTGTTTCTTGCCTGGTTTTGGGACTTTTTGTTTGTTTTCTTTTGCTTCTTGGATTGTTTATTATGTCAGTGTATAATACTAATGGAACTCATGGAACTCTTCTCCATCACCTTTATACTTAGCAGCATAATATCAAGAGAAGCAAATGCATTAGTTGATGCAAACTTGCTGTCTTTTATGCAAATGCCACAGTTGCCATATACAACTGTGACATATGTGACTGGTGGCTCATTACAAGACCAATCCAGATCAAAACATTTAATAAAACACAATAATTGTCTTCTTCAACATTGCCTAACATTGGTAGAGCCATGAAGTGGATTTGAAAAGCCTTTTTAAATTGCAGTGACTGAATATTGTGTTCACATTTCCATTTCAGATATAAATGTTTTGAGTATGTTTTCCCAAATTTTATAATGAAATGCAATCATTTCCAACTCATAGCAACCCTAGAACCTGGTTTTCTGGGGCCGAGAATGT